GAGAGAGAGAGAGAGAGAGAGAGAGGGGGGGGAGAAGAAGAAGAAGTTAACTGACGAGTGCATAAGTTTTCCTGTGGTATACAAGTATAATATTGAGAAAATTATAAAAAAAACACCAAAGCAGACTTTCTATATAACCTACCTACCACATTTTTTATCATAAAACTTTTATAACAAATACCCCAAAGATTTTTTTCAAAAAAACTTTTATAGCAAATACCTCTAAATCAAGAAATCATAGTTATTTGGACAAAAATATCCTTTCTCATATATGACAACGTTACATCCCTGTAACCGTTTGTCACACAACCCATGCCTCTAGGCGCACTGCCGAACCGTGACAAAAATGTGCTGAACCGGCAGTACATATTGCTGGAGCACAATTTCACTTGCCGAACCAAGATCAATATACCTACTGTCGGATCACCATACAATGTTGCCAGGCCGACGCCACCTTCTGCCGGACTGCTAATATACTATGATGGATTGAGTGCATCTCCTATCGGACCGCTATTTAAATTGCTAGACCGATGACGATGCTCTACCAATAGCTGGACAACAAAACACAATTGTTGACTGAGAGTTAGAAGTGACGGACCGAAAGCATCTAATGCCAAACTGTGTTTTCATCCAATGCCGTTATGTACGGACAATGGTATTTTCGTCTGATGAACTATGAACGGACAAGTATTTTCATCTAAATACTTGGGGCCTTTGCTACAAAGATTAGTTTTGAAGTAAAAGTTGCGAGAAAAAAATGATTGGAGAGAAGTAGTCTAAAAAATTTACCTTGGGTTTTATTTATTTATAATTTTCCCTAGAATATTAGAGTTTGGTAGTGAGAAAAAAGAAGAGAACAAACTACAGTTCGGATCTGGGATAGGTCTCATCCTTTGTTTTCTAAGCTTATCCCTCCAGTTTGGTCCCTCTCTCTCATGCGACCAAATTTGTTTAATCGCCCCGCACATGGAAATTGCATCGATGGTTGTGAGGTGAGGCGTGACAATCAAACCTCGTGAGCTTGCTTTTACTTGTCCATATTATATAAATAACGAATATAAAGTTGCCATTATTTAAGTGCCAATGTGCTATTGGTGCTCTTTTCCATGCTTGTGAGTTTTAATCTACTTCTTGTTTGATTAGTATCAAGCAAAAGAAGCACAAAATTGTGATTATGTTAAGCAGAAGAATACATTTAGATAACATAAATGAACAATAGATTTTTAAATTACTGGGAAAGGGATAGGGTTGCAGTGGTAGCACCGCCACACCCTAATCATCATGTTGTGGTTTTCATTTACATTCAGACTATCCCACTAATAATTTCAAAAAAAGAACTCCCTAAATTATTTAAAAACCATCCCATTAGTACCTTATTTAAAAAACTTAACTCCTAACACCTTAAAAAAAAAACCAACTCCTAAACTATTTTTTTTTAAAAAAATGGGACACCTTAAAAAAAAACGTACTCCTAAACTATTTAAAAAAAAAACCACTAACGGATTCAAAAACTAACTCCTAAACGTTGGAGATGAACCATTGACAAGGTACGTTGGAAATTGTTTACGCTTTGGTCTGCGTCGATCTTTGGGATGAGATCTACTCAAATCTTAACAAACTACTTTTTAAAAGGTAGAGAAAATATGGTCGTTTGAATTATGGGCTTAGAAAAATTTCAGATCTATATAGATCCAATTTTTTTTAGATCTATATAGATCCAATTTTTTTTAGATCTATATAGATCCAATTTTTTTTTAGTCCACTGGCGTTGCTAGCTTTAAATCCATATTTTGATATAAAAAAACATTTCTAAATTTAATTAAATTTAATAATAAATTAAATTAAAAAAATAAAATAAATCAAAGAATTAAATTAAGAAAAACAAATTAAATTAAGTAAAGAAATATATACTTACCTCTAGGGACCAGAAATCTGGAGTTTCAGGCTTGGATCAGGTCACTCGTCTGATTTGCATCACCATCTCATTTTTTGGGTGCCTTTACTTGCTGAAATTGGTAGATCTAGGATTCCTAAGGCAAGAGAAAAAGTTAAGAATTTTAAGTACGGTCTACCTAAGTTTTTCTTGGGATTTCTTAGGATTGGATAAGAATTTCTTTAGTTTTTTAAGGGTTTTAGGATCTCCAAATATTTAATATGAATTCTGGTATTTTATGTGATTTTTTGAGATTTTTTCTAATTTTTCAAGAATTTTTTTAAGGTTTTTTCTAGTTTTGGGTATTTTTGGGTTATTTTTCTAATTTCGAGAATTTATAAGGGATTTCTTGATCCATTTCTTTTTCTTATTTTTTTCGTTATGGAGGGGGGGTATTTATATGACTCAATTGGTGATTTTTCTTCTTTTCTTTGGATTTTTTTCAATTTTTTTTGGATTTATCTTGAAGTTTTTGCTTTATGTAATTAAAGAAAATGCCTTTACTATATCATCAAATGCCTTTATTGCATCATCTAGCTGCGCCTCCATGTTGGATCATTTTATCTGGAGGTTTGATTTAGTTGATTCTTGGACCGCTGGAAAGCTCTCAAGCTCTACTTCATGTTGGGATAGGTTTTGGGTAGTTTTGAAACAATTATATTGGGTTTAGATTGTCTATAGTCTACTAGAGTTTGTGTGGTCCTTTAGGCTTAGAATCGAGGTTTTTAGGAGTTCCCTTAGCCAGAATTTTGAGGGGGGTGTCTACCGATATAAAGCAAAATAATACCATTGGTCGATATGTGTTGACAATGTATAAACATAATCAAGGTTTTTAGGAGTTCCCTTAGCCAGAATTTCGAGAGAGGTGTCTACAGATATAAATCAAAATAATACCATCGATCGATATGTGTTGACAATGTATAGATGGTATGAGTATTCATAAGTATACTTACCATGAGTACATGATTCCTTCCTTTTAAATTTAAGAAAATTACAAAGAAACCCCAAGACCACACTTTCTATGCAACTTACCCCAACCTAACTTTTTTTCTCATTTTTTTCCCAAAACAAACTTTCTATGCAAATACCCCTCAAGGGAAAAAGTTCATTTTTTTAGATGGAAATGCCCTTCTTGTACACAAAAATCAATTTGGCTGGATTTGACGTTGACTTTTGGATCGCTGTAGCATATTGCCAGAGCGCACCATTACATTGTTGGAGCGTACCATTACATTACCGCATTTTGGCCAGATTTGACATTGACTTTTGGACCGCTGTAGTACATTGTTGGAACGCACCATTACATTGTCAGAGCGCACCATTACATTATCGGAGCGTACCATTACATTGCCGCATTTTGGCCGGATTTGACGTTGACTTTTGGACTGCTGTAGCACATTACCGAAGCGCACCATTACATTGTCGGAGCGCACCATTACATTGTCGGAGCGTACCATTACATTGTCAGAGCGCACCATTACATTGTTGGAGCGTACCATTACATTGCCGAAGCGCACAAGTGCCGGACCTCCGTAACACAACTACCGGACCGAAACTGATTACTGCCAGACCGCCCTTTACATAGTGTAGGAACCCTGGAATCTAGTAACATCTACTGCCAAGCCGCCCTTTGTAACTGCCGAACCGCACTTTATACAGTACCGGAGCCATACTGTCGGACCTCACTTTACACAATGCTCCTACTACCAGACCACACTTACACATTGTTGAAACCCCTATTTTAGTGGGATAGAGGAGAGAGCCCTTTGTAACTGCCAAAGCGCACTTTACACAGTACCGGAGCCATACTGTCGGACCGCACTTTACGCAGTGCTAGAGCCCTACTGCCGGACCACACTTATACAGTGTCGAAACCCCTATTTTAGTCGGATAGAGGAGAGAGAGTCATGGATAAGGTAAAAGTAAGGGAGGGTAGTTTAGGTATTTTTTTTATTTTTTATTTGGTTGGAGGATATTTACATAGAAAGAGTATTTTGGGTAAAAAAGTGAAAGAAAAAGTTCAATTGGGGGTAAGTTGCCTAGAAAGTGTAGTTTTGGAGGTTTTTTGTAATTTTTCCAAAAAAAAGTTTATATAAGATTGTAGTCTTATACTATAGAAGTAAAGTGCACATCAAAAATCTCGTAAAAGAGATGTTCCAAAGTTGGGAAATCTTTTAATTGATCATCTCGACCTCAATATATATGGATATAAAGAAAAAAAATAAAGTAAGTTTTAACAAAAAAATAATAAATTTTTTTTTTTTAAAAAAATAGTACATATTGTAACAAGTTATTCGAACTTTCTATTATAGATATGCCCGATTTACATATTTTTTAAAATTTTAAATTTCATAACTAAAATTGAACACTGATTTTCAATCCATTATAGGATTTTCAACACCGAAGCTGCATCTTCTACCAAAATTTAGATGTACGCCTTACTTGTATAGTATATTGTCGGCTCCTTATACCAAGTTCACCCCATTTTAAATTGAAGTAAAAGGAAGACCAAGGGCCACATCCAGTTTGGCGATCGAAGAATTCATATTTAATATGGTGGATGTGCCACATGGGGCCAATTTGCAAAATGCTTAATCCTTCCAATCTCGAAGATTAATATATGAGTTTTTTTTTTTTTCTCTATATAAAATAACTATAAACGTGAAGATTATGTTTAATATCACGTGTTTAGCTCCAGCTCAACCTCAAAACCTTTATTAATCTATACTACATATTCCCAATTTGTTATGTTCTTCGTCTTTGTTTCATCATCATTTATTAAGTTATACTACATATGCTCAATTTGTTATGTTATTTGTCTTTGTTTTATTATGTAATAAGGGATTGTTTATAAAGAAATCATTTATCTTTTATACATGGAAGTCACAATCATCTTCTCATTAGACATCAAATTGGATGGCTTAGGATGAGTCAAGAAGTTTGAAAATTTGTCTTTTTATGTGGTTTCTATAAGGTTGCAACCTTAACCAATCCAATTAAGATGCACCTCCAAATTGTATTATAACATGTAATTTTGGTGAAAAATATTATTAAAATTATTTCAAAATCTATTTTTATATCTAATTATAAGATTTTAAATTTTAAAAATGGTTAAAATCAAGTAGATCTATAAATATATGAAAATTTTGAAAGTGGACTGTCTAGATAATGTATTATAAGATGTACTATTTTTGGGACTTAAAATCTTTTTTTTTTTTTTTTCATATTCATACATCTCAATATTGATATGATTCATTAAATGTTTTTTTTAACATTAAACAACTTTTTTCGATGGATTTTTAAGATATATATGTAATTCTATATTTTTAGGTTGCAACCTTATATAAAACTTTTTCTTTTGTTCCCAACATAAACCTGAAAATCAAGTTTCCGGCCATTTCTCTTAGTCAGGGACCCTTTATTGTTGAGGCTTTTCCACCATCTTTATAAAGCAGATGCAGGCCGCCAACTGCGGATTTCAATACAATTGTCCCCAAAGCTCTTGGCTTCCCTCTATCTCTGTTTTCACCAAATAACATTTTGCTCCCTCAAATCGTCACAATTTGCTCTCTCAAATCCCTTCCTCGAAACCAAACAAAACTTGCCTTATTTAAACATGTAGTAGGACTTCTGTATTTTACTCAATTCAAAAACTTACTTGGCGCGTAACTAACTGATCAATCTGGAGTGGCTGTTTAAACTATGCTCCTCAACACCATGTCCATTCTCACAACAAAGAACCCCCATATGTTACTCCTGTTCCAAAACAGAAGCCTCATCACCCATTTGTCTCTTCAACAACAACAAAGAGAAGAAGAAGAAAAGCGGCATTGGAGCCAGCTGATCACCCAATGTGCAAGAAGCAAGCAACATGACCAAGTACTGCATCTCTTTTACACTATGCACCGTAGTGGACTGAGACCTAGCCGGAATTCCACCATATCCTCCCTCAATGCTTGCAGCCACTTGTGCTTACTGCCACAGGGGACACAGCTCCATGCATTAACAATCAAAGCTGCCTTACTGTCCCCGCCTGATGTTGTCGTCTCTAATGTTCTCATAGACATGTACTCTAAGTGTGGGCTATTAGATGAGTCACACAAAATTTTCGATGAGACCCACCACAGAGATTTGGTCTCGTGGATCTCCATTCTTTCCGGTTACTCGCGAAATGGGCTTCACGGCAGTGCCCTTGAGACTTTCTTTGATGTGCATAGTTTGGGCATGGGGTTCAGCGACTATGGGTTTTCTGTGGCCTTTAAAGCATGTGCAGCACTCGGTGATATCCGCCCAGGGTTACAGATACATTGTTTGGCAACCAAGGTGGGTCTCGACTCAGATGTGTTTGTCGTGAGCTCATTACTTGACATGTATGCAAAATGCGGGCGAATCACAAGCGCCCGCCACGTGTTCAACACAATTGACGAGCCGAACGTCGTCTCCTGGACCTCAATGATCTCAGGTTATGTGCGTAGCGAAGATGGAGAGGAGGCCTTGCGGCTCTTCAGCCAGCAGCTGAGGGTTGGAATTGCCCCCGACCCTTTCACGTTTTCGAGTGTGCTCGCTGCCTGTGCCAGCCTTTCGGCTCTCGACCCAGGCCAGCAGGTCCACGTTCATGTGCTCAAGTCAGGGCTCGGTTTGCAGTTATTTGCTGGCAATTCGCTCATCGACATGTATGCCAAGTGTGGGTGCCTGTCAGACGCCACAAGGGTCCACGCTCACATGCAGGTGAGAGATGTTGTCTCATGGACTGGGATGATCAATGGGTGCGCCTCACATGGGCATGGGTTAGAGGCACTACGGCTCTTCACTCAGATGAAAAGCGCCGGGATAAGACCAAATGCAGTCACCTTAGTGTGCGTATTATCAGCTTGCAGCCATTCGGGCCTGGTCAAAGAGGGGCTACGCCACTTCCATTCTATGAGGGACGAATATGGGATTGAGCCGACAGAGGAGCATTTCACATGTGTTGTTGACTTGCTTGGGCGTGCTGGTCTTGTGAAAGAAGCAGAAGAGTTCATGAGGCATATGCCATGTGAGCCCAGTGCATCTGCATGGGGGGCCTTATTGAGCGCATGCAGGAAGAATGGGAATGTGCATTTGTCGGCGAAATGTGCGGATCAACTGTTTAGATTGGAACCTCATGCAGCTGCAAATCATGTTCAGCTGGCCAATATTTATGCAGCTAGTGGGAGGTGGAAAGATATGGGCAGGGTCAGATTACTGATGAAAGAGAAAGGGATCAAGAAGGAGAGCAGTTATAGTTGGATCGAGATGGGGAAGAAAGTGAATGTGTTTGGAGTGGGTGACAATTTGCACCCAAAGAGTGACGTGATTTACTTCATGCTCGGTATACTGGCCATGGAAATGAAAGATCAAGGCTATATTCCCACTAGTGATCATGCATGGGGAAGGCAGGAAAAAGATACAAAACCGTAAAGGCTCTTCCTCTCTTCTACTTATGAATAGTAGTCCAATTTTGCAGACTCCAATTACCAAACGCATGTTCAACCGGGTTGCAATAGGCAAATGACACCCACATGGATTTCCATGAACATGTGTGATGATCGAGGAATAGAAGACTATGAATCAGAGGGAGGGAGATGTGGAAGCACAATCTCATCAGAAGTCTAAAAGCATAGCTTTGATGGGAACTCAGAGAGAGAGCATAGTCTATTAATACCTAACTATGTTGATACGTCCCAAACGATGCAATATAATGATCAGAGACCTCAACACTACCTCCATTCTTGCTGGAAAGACCTCACCTCCTATGTTAGTAGTCCTATCCCAAACTAGAAGAATTTATCAGATCTTAAACCCATTCTCTAAATAACGCCGGCTCTTTTTCTGAGGCGAAAATAAAAATAGGAAGCAGAATGGACCCATTTGATCACCGAAGCATTACAGCCCTCGCGCATCGAATGAGCGTCACACCGAAGCATTACAGCATTTGTGCACCGAATGAGTGTCACACCGAAGCATTACAGCTCTTGTGCACCATGCAACACAGTGAAGTAAAACCCAAATGAAATTCCACCATATCCTCCTGCAATTGTTGCAGCCATTAGTGTTTGCTATGTCAGAAGAGGCCTATTGTCTTACAGATGTAATCGCCGATAACATCTTCATTGACATACTTCAAATAGATGAGTCTCACGGGTCTTTCGATGAGGCCCTCCACATAGATTTGGTGTCCCTGATGTCTCTTTTTCCAGGTTAGTTGCAGAATGGCTTTCATAGTGAAGCTTTGAAGCATTCCTTCCATGAACAAAGTCTTGGCGTATGCGTTCAGCTAGGTGGTCTTGAAAGCATTGGAAGAACTTGGGAACATCTGTGCAGATGCACCATTTGGTGATCAAGGCGGCTCTTCACTTGGGGACATTTGTTATTATTATTATTTTTTAATTATTTAATGTGTTAACTTTTGTATTAATGAAATTACAAACGGAATACTAGATTAAAGACAACCCGCAAATGAGTGCCCCTACAAAAGAAAAAGAAAAAAAACAAACCTTGAGGTCCAAAAAATGCTTTATAATTTCTATAATGAAATAAAATGGGGAACATGTACTAAAAAAGGTGCTTAAATGGTTCTGGCGCGTTATGCAGATTGTGATAGTGAGGTGCCCTCCTTGCCGAGGGTGACATAATTGTTGCAAGCTTGTTGCTCAACATGTACGCAAAGTGTGGGAGAATCCCACGGTGCCCCTTAAACATTCAACATGATGAGAGAAACAAAGTCATCTCAGACTCTCATGGACTCCAATGATCATTGGATACATATCTGATAGAGATGGGGAGGATTGTGGGCCTTACAGGAGCAACTGAGGGGATTGTCCAGACCTATGCCTTCTCGGATGCTCTCACTGCCGGTGCAGGACTCTCGGCACCTTGGGGCCAGCAGGTCGACAATCAAGTCAAAGCTCAATTCCCAACTATTTGTTAGCTATTCGCTAAGTGACATGTATGCTGAACAAGGTTTAAAAAATTGGATCGGTGAGTCGAATCGGCTGAATCGACAATTTTTGTTTCAAATGTTTTTCAAAAAATCACTATAAATCTCTAAAAATAGTATTATTTTAGTTTCTAAAAGAAATTAAGAGTTATGTATTATGCATTTTCATTGCTTTGTAAAAATAGGTGAATATTGAGATGTTATTTTCATATTGGATGTTTGTATAACTATTAATTAAAATATAATATTATAATATTACATCAAAATAATTTAAAAATATTAAAAAACAATTCCATATTAAAAAACTTTAAAAAATAATTTCTCATAAGAACTTCTATATGGATAATTTTTAGAGACAAAATATCTTATAAAATCGTCATAAAGAATATGTTACGTAGAAAGAAGGTGCTCTTTCAAATCTTTCATGTTGGAAAATCTTTTGGTTTGCAAACAAAACATCTCAATATCCTTGAAAGCTTCCATTGAGAGCAAAAATTGTGACAATATGGAAGTCGCTTCCACGCATGTAATGACTTTAACATTTAAAATAATATGGAAGTACCTGCCTGTGAATTCAAAATGTGTTAGAAATTTTAAATTATAGCGTGCTGTCCATTGTACTATTAAAAAATGGGTGAGGTTTCTGTAAGGTTGAAATCTTAAACAATCCAATTAAGGCGCACCTCCAAATTTTATCATGTAATTTTGATGAAAGAATTCTTAGGATTATCTCAATCATAACATATAATTTTGGTGAAAGAATTCTTAGGATTATGTCAATATATATTTTCATATCTGATTATAAAATTTTAAACTTAAAAAATGATTAAAATCAAACAGATCTATAAACATGTGAAAGTCTTGAAAATGGACGGTCTAGATAATGTATTGCAAGATGCACTATATCTATGACTCAAAATATCTTTTTCTTTTCATATTCATACATCTCAATGTCGAAATGATCAATTAGAAGTTTTTGGAACATTAAAACAACCCGTCCCGATGGATTTTTGAGGTACATCTATAATTCTACATTTTAAGGTTGCAACCTTATATAAACTTTTTCCTTAAAAAATTAAGATAAGATTAGATATTTCAAATAAACAACAAAAATAGTATTTGACAAATACAAAAATAGTATTTGACAAATAAAAGAGAGAGAGAGAAGTAAAAAAAAAAGATAGAAAAAAAGAAGAGGTTAAAATTAATATTAAAAAGAAAAGAATGGCGTACATCATAGACGGTTCGATGATGTGATATAGCACGTTCAATGATGTTACAACCAACTGTGTGGAGGATCGGGTCACCGATTTTTTAAACGTTGATGCTAAGTATGCTGGAAGGCTTGAGGGCTCATGCGCATGTGCAGGTGAGAAACCTTGTCCCCTGAACAGAGGTGAGGTGATCAATTACTGCACTTACCATGGTGGAGATTCGAGGATCTGCAACCTTCTTCTCAGAAGAGAACAGCAGGGATTCAGTTAACGATGGAGAGAGAGAAATGCAGGGATAAGACCAAATGTTTGGGTGGTGCATGCTGTAGGCTTGCCGCCATTCGATCCTGAGTCGAGGACTAGTTATGCCACTTCAACTCAATGCATGACAAGGTATGGGATTGAGCTGGCGAAGGTGAATTATTGACTTGCTTGGTCATGCAGTTTATCAGCAAAATGTGCCAATTAGATAAGATCATTATAGGTGCATTATTGACATGCTTGGTCATGCAGTTTGTCTGTCAATGAACTGTTTAGATTGGAAGCGACTGCAGCCGCAAATTATTTTCAGCTGGCCAATATCTATCTATCTATCTATCTATCTATCTATACATACGAAAAATTATCCCATCAGCCTGCTCACGCGTACGCCCAACAGTCGGTCCTGATTGACTGTGGCAAATTGGACGGTTTGCATGACAAAGCCACTGCCCTCTCTCTACCCATTAAAAAACCCCATTTTTTACCCTTGTCACTATCCGACCAAGAGAGTGCCTAAACCTGAAAGGACAATGGCCAATTATATTGCTGCTGCTCAATCCAATAGATTTGAAAGGCAAACATAAAAATTTTGGGGCGCATCACCTCGCCTGAAATAATTTGGCACATCTTTAATTTGGCGCATCAATTTTTCTCTCATTTCAAAGGCAAACATCAATAATACATAATCTCTGTTTTTCTCTTTGCTGGAAATGTTTGGGCGAGGAATGATCACCAGACTGCTCTTGATGTTGCAATTGAAATGGGATTTTGAAACATTTGCAAAACCCTAAAATGATAGAGAAAGAGAGAGAAAGAGAGAGAGAGAGGGATACCGTTACATAGCTCTTAGGGGTGACCAATCTCAAGAGAACAACGGAGAAAAGCAGGTAGAAAAGTAGTAGAGTGAGAGAGGCGCACCTTTTCAGATCATGGCTCTGCTATGAAATCCAACGAGAAGCTTCAAGGTTGTGTACTCATGGGTGGCGCGTCCTAGTTACAAGGGGAGATGGGGCGGAGATGAGAGAGAGGTGGGGGCTCCTTGAGTAGAAAGAGTGTGGTTGGCAGATGAGATGAGAGAGGGAAAGAGAAATGACCAATACCTCAAATGAAAATTTTAAATTTTTGGCTCCAAAAGTTAAAACTTCGTAAAACGATATAAATGCCCTTACTCAATTAAAAGGCAAAGAAGCAATAAGGGCGACTTAATGTAATTATATATATATATATATATATATATAGAAGATGCTTAGGTGAGCCCACTAACTCACAGGAAAAAAATAAGCTCGATAATTCAGATTGAATCTAGACCGATCTAACGATCATGGATGCTCGATAATGTTTCAATTTTAATTTTTTTTTCTACAAATCCAAATCATTTGAAATTTTAGACATGTGTTGATAAAAAATAAGTGAATATTCAAAAAATATTTTGCATGAAAAAATAACCAAAATACCCTCATAAATTTTCGGGGGAGTATTTTGGTCATTTTTAATTTTACGG